CTGAAATTTACGTTTGGAAAGCTGTATTACAAATATGATTACCGGTATATTAAAATAATGAAAATGTATTATAAACCTGTCTAACATACTGTAAATACCATCAATCAACAACATAATAAACGCAGGTATCATCACGCACCGCCCGCCATTTGCAACTGCCGCTGAAGTAAACAAACAGCCAGTCCTACCGATCGTCTCGCGAAGCAAGTTTATAAATTAAAGAAAATACCTGCAGTGTATTTTATGCCTACATTTCTAATATATTACAGTATATTATAAATAAATAAATAAACAAATAAATCAGTAAATCCATTTCAAGAAAATAGTAAAATTTTACTAGATACCGACATTAGTTCCAGTAAAATAACCGATGCCTAAGTGACGTCACTAGTGTTTACACTACACCAGCTGGTAATGTTTGATGCAGATTATGGTAGGAAGTTGACAATATTTTGCCAATAAGCTCCCAGTGGTAAGTGTCAGATTTGCGGTAGTCTTATACAGCGATTATACAGTTGAGTCTGGATTTACGTGGTTTTTGTTGACGCATTTGGTCATTTACACAGTGCCTTGCCAGAATTGAAATACTTTAATTACGCGGTAAATTTGGTCATTTACGCGGAGAGCAGCTGGCGGTCCAGCCGCGCCGTGCCATGTTTGGATTCAACCCTCCCGCCATGCTTTGGTAAGCGGCACGAGTAAGGTTGCGCAATATGTCGCTGTAGCGTTATCGGTGACGTCATATGACGTATCGGACTGTGATTGGGCCATGCATCCTTACCTCCCTCCCCCGCTAGCTGTGATTGGCTTAATGTAATATGACGTGCCCTGCCAAGGGAGGGAAGAAGCCGCTGACCTAGCCGCGTTAGTCGCTCTCCTCCCAGTCACTCCGTGTAAACTATGTTCTATTGTGCCACTAATCTCGTAAGAATGGCTTCCACTGGACCCCCACCACCACAGAAAAACCTTGCATTACCTAGACCCAGCCGCCCCAAGCCAAAGAAGATACGACGTTCCCTAAGTTACGAAGTTAAGTACAAGATCGTACAAGATTTAGAAAAAGGAACGAGACAAGTTGATTTGGCGCGAAAGCATGGCGTGAACGAATCGACGATCAGGACGATCAAGAAGGATGCTGCCAAGATAAAAGAACACATGAACATCACAAAGTCTGCAGGTGCTTCAATGGTGAAGTACTGCCAGAACAAGGTGCTGCTCAAGATGGAGAATTTACTTGTGAGCTACTAGATTCGTCAGGCAAGACGGAACATGGCGGTGAACACGCGGTCAGTTCAGGACTTCGCACGTGAACCGTACATAGCAGTGGCACGTAAGATGGGAATTGCAGAGCCCAAACCCTTCAATGCTTCCTCTGGGTGGCTGCAAGGGCTTAAGAAGACGAGAGTCAAAATGTAGAAGAAGAACCTGCACCCTCCAAAAAATTTTCAGTGAAACAAATGGCAGAGGCATTTGCTACAATTAATAAGGGGATGGATCAAAATGTTGAGCGTTTTGCAAAAGTTGACAGAATGATCCAAGGTGCACTTGCTTGCTACAGGGAGATTTACAATGAAAAGAAAAAGCAAACTGTGCAGTCTAAATTTGACGACATATATTTTAAGAAGTCCCCCAGTGCTGTGTCCTCATGCCCCACCAGTGGTGCCTCTTCACTCCCTTAAGATGATCCAATACCTTCAACAAGCAAGTTTCCCCTGTATGTTAACCTGTCTGAAGAAAGCGACATTGATGACCCACCCAGCCCTGTCTCCTCTTCTGCTTCATCCAATTAATGTAGTCTCCATGTATAATTAGAAAATTATGGGGGCCCCGTGTGCATTCAGCTGACTACATTAAAGGTAAGTGCACAGTAACACTGTATTCATTCTTCATTATTGATTACTTTTACTGTACTGTATTTCATTTTAGATTTTCTATGTATCATTTTTTTGCATTTTTGACTTAGGACCAATTCGACTTACGACCTGGATTTGGGTCCCTAACCCCGTCGTATGTCGGGGAGCAGCTGTACTGTGTGTGTGTGTGTGTGTGTATATATATATATATATATATATATATATATATATATATATATATATATATATATATATATATATATATATATATATATATATATATATATATATATATATATATATATATATATATATATATATGTAATATATATATATATATATATATATATATATATATATATATATATATATGTTATATATATATATATATATATATATATATATATATATATATATATATATATATATATATATATATATATATATATATATATATATATATATATATATATATATATATATATATATATATATAAAAACTTCCGGAAGAACGTCAGTCAGTATCTCTGACATTGGTTGGAGTGTCTGGGACTCAGAATTGGGTTCTGAACTTTGCTAAGAGGTCTCGCTTTCTTTGCAACAGTTGGACGATTTTACCATCGATACCATGGTCTGAGGATCATGTACCTCCAGAGACTATGAGGAACATATTTAGCATTCTGCTGATATTTTTGTAATGCCAGGATGGCTGGTGGAGGCAAGACAAAGGAGTAGATGTCCCCACTTCACCCATATGGACCTCAGCCACTACAAGAGAAGTCTGGGGACTGAGGATTGGTGACAGAGTCGATTGTGGGAGCTGAATTCAATGCAGGTACAGACGATTCTCGGGCAGTGTCGCAGCAAGAGCTTGCAGAGCCTTGTGTCGGGATAGAACCTGTGCATTGGAATCCTCATGCCTTGAGACACATTAGGATTGTGCTTCTGGCTTCAGCAAAGCTCACTTTCCTCTCGTGCATATCTTTAGTACCACTTTCTTCATTCAGAACCGGTCAAATTCACTAAAAGAAGTTGGGTGCACCTCACTACAGTAAATACAACAGAAGACTAGGCCATTTCTGACCCTCATGGGGCTTACCCTAGTTAACACATGCTGCAGGAACAACCTACTCTAATTTACAACAAGTGCAGCTGACATGGCCATACATTTAACAATGAAAGCATCGTTTAGGGTTTATGACAAATGGTTAAGGGAGATCCAGGCAACCTTGATAGAGGTTGGAATTTCATAGCAATCAAATGTCAACAACAGAGTTGGTGTAGGGTTAAAAACGCCATTTTCTTTCTTGCAGAACCTGTCCACTTTCACCACCCTTTGGACTCAAGAGCTACTGCAGAAGCTTCTCCTCTGAGTATCAGAGCAGCTGTTTAGAGAATACCACCCCTTGACACTGGTTAAAGGTGGCATGTAGAGTACAGGAGACTGAGGCACCAGGTACCTCAGACAGGGTATGGAGTCAAGCACCCTCCTTGGGGAAGGAGACTTCCACTAGGAGGCTACCATCTTGCTAGGTGGATATTTTTTGTTCTCTCCCACAAATTGATACAACTGACCAGTGAACAGCAAAAATATCCAGGTCCAATACAGGCTGGCCTTCCATGGTATGGAGTAATAAGTATTTTGCAGAAATCCACCTGTTTAAACACACCTGGTAAGATCTCAAGGGCAGAAGCATCAAGGAGAGTGCCAGGGCCAGTGGGCCTCCTGCGGCTCTTAGACGTGGGTATTTGTCAAGACCCACAGCCACTCTTTTAAATTGATAGGGCTCTAATATTGCAAAAGATGATCCTTCTGTAGGAAGTTTAGGGGGCAAGATTAGGAAATTCGGAGGAAGTCCAAGGACAGTGTGCAGGGTCATCTGGGGGATAATCTGGTCAGCAAAAGAAGTTTGATTCTTCCATTAATAGACCAAAATAAACTTCACTCCTCCCCCACCAAGGAGCCCAACATGGGGAGGTCAACACCAGAGACAAGACCCTGGTGACCCCAGGGGTAGCAGGAGTGCATACATAGGTAACCACCAGTGGGCCAAGATGATAGCTCATAGACCATAGGAATGCCGGGACCCCTGATCAGCTGATTGACTTGATCAGGCCCACCAGAGCACAGGTCACTGACCCACATCAGGGTCTAGGGGGCAAAAATATAATAATAATAATAATAATAATAATAATAATAATAATAATAATAATAATAATATAAATAATAATAATAATAATAATAATAATACTGTAACAATAATAATAATAATAGTAATAATAATAATAATAGTAAAATTAATAAAAACAAAAACAAAAATAAAATAAAAAATACCATAAAATAATAATAGTAATAATAATATTAACAATAATAATAATAATAATAATAATAATAATAATAATAATAATAATACAACTGTACTTCTAATAATAATATTCATAAAATGAATAAAAACAAATAAAATTAAACAAAAAATACCATAAATACAGTAAAATAAGAATAAAAATAACAATAACCATAAATAAATCCAAAAATGAAAAAATCAAGAGTGAAAAATGATATATGTATGTTTTGTTGTCAAAGTAAGAGAAACAATTGAGACCCTGTGTTTATATGAGGCAGAAAGTCAGATTACCAACCTGGGACTTGGTCACAATTTTTGTGATGCCATATGGTAGCAGGGTCTACCACAAGACAATATATTATGCTTCCAATTCTTCACAGGCCCCGTTGTGGGTCGATGACCTGTGCCCGGGTGGGCTATTCCCCTTAAAAAAAAAAAAAAAAAAAACTACTAGCTGACCAAAGAGGTGTATTGCTCACCACAGGGCGGTGCGTGTGGCATCGCTCAACCTTCAGGAGCCACACACAGCAAAGACGTGGGAAAATATTCCAGCCCCGATGAAGCTGCCGGTCTGTTCTAAAAATCGACAGGAGGATAGAAGCCATTTTGTCTGGACCCTCCCAGGTGATTCACCCGGTTTGGAAAACCCTTCCCCTCCCTCCGAGAACATCGGAACTCACAGCCCCCCACACAAAAGTGAATCTATTGTCTCACAACCAAATCAACTCAAGCAACCAAAACATTCCATGAATTAAAAATAATTTTTTTTTGCACCCACCCCCCCAAAAAATAAAATACATACCTTTGTTTAACACTCTTTCAAACATTGCAGTTTTGGAGCACCTCTTAATTTCCTTCAACAAAAGGAATTCACGTTCTCCAGCCAAGCTGACTGAGCGACCACAGTGACCAGCTCGAGCAGTACGGCCGACTCGATGAACATATTTGCTGTATTTACTTGGTAAGGTGTAATTTATGATCTGAAATTGCATAAAAGTCAAGACTGAAATATTTTTTGTCAGTTACCAAAAAGTTACATAAGTACAAAAACAGATCTAGCTTAGTTCCAGCTACAATCTGAGGCTAAAACATCACTCTTGGGTACTATAGAAATTAGGAGCATAGCATAAGATATCCATTTTCTATGATCGGTGATGAAGACTTGGGTGTTCACATTAGGTTACGTTCAAGAAGCTGGTTCTGAATAAACAAAGGTTAATCATTAATAATAATAATTATTATAATCATAATAATAATAATAATAATAATAATTGCTGGTCTTTTGTTTCTCAAAAGTACCAATTCTTCTAAAGAATTCACTAGAGCTCAAAACACTACAAAGTAAAGGACCTGAAAACTAAAAAAAAAAAAAAAAGATCACAAAAAGTGACAGTTCATTTATCCTTAAGTTGTAACACTTCCTAAACCCTGTAATTCTCTATTACTGTACCCTATTCAGGATCATAATCTTAAAAAAAAAAAGATAAGTATTAAGTTGTTTCCTAAAGGCTGCCACAGAAGTCAGCTGGTTCATGGATGCAGACAACCAATTGTGCAATCTGGGTGCTGTACAGGAAAATAATCAGGCAACAAAAGAACATTTCTGTATTGCTCTAGGCTCTTCAAGTCCTGAGGGATCATCTCTACTATGCAAAATCATTTCAGAGCTTGTGGTCACAAAATTTAGTAGGTTGGACAAATACTTTGTACTGTATCATCAAACATTACTGCCTTAAAAGTCATTAAGCAGAGTTTGAACTATCCTAGCTTTAACTGGAAACCAGTGCAATTCTATCAAGAATGGGGTAATGGGAGTCCTCGGTGAAAGCAAAAATAATCCTGGCAACCCTGTTAAACACTGTTTGAACGTTCTTCAGTAGATAATCAGGTAGGCAGACCCATAAAGAGTTACAATAGCTAACCTGAGACAAAGTAAGTAAATGTAATATTGTCACAAGACACTGTCTATCCAAAAAATGTTTCACAGCATATGGATTTCAAATACAGTCAACTCTCGTGAATTCGGACCCCTTTAATCCGGATTTTGGATAAATCGGACGAAATCTGAACTGTCCGTATCAAATTTCTGGTTCTGGGATTGTCCCAGTTGCAATTGGGGTTGCAATTTCAAATTCTGTGTCACTACTAAGGAATAACAAAGTCTCTGGTGCACTGCACTCTAAGATTAAGAGAAAACGGAGGACTCAGGCGTCCTGAAGTGAGAGAAAACGTACTCCTATGATGGGGCACTCAAATAAACATACACATAGCTACATGTTTTGTGGACTACCCACTTTGTAATAAACCTAGTCATGCCTATGTGTGTTTCTGATAATTACCATAACATTATATATTTAGCGGTTGTACAAACACAAGGCCTCACACATGCCACTCAGACTGACAGACTTGACAAGTTTTACCAACCATAAAGACAGTTGAAGCTTTAAACATCACTCACAATGGATCTTGAATATTCCAACTGTAATCAGACATACCTAAGTTGCCTCGACAATTGCAACCCCAGTTGCAATATCAAATTCTGTGTCATTACTAAGGAATAACAAAGTCTCTGGTGCAGTGCACTCCAAGATTAAGAGAAAACGAAGGACTCAGGCGTCCTGAAATGAGAGAAAACGGACTCCTATGACGGGGCACTCAAATAAACATACACATAGCTGTACAATAGGGGGCAGGGAAAAAACACTTTTATTTGAGTTGCAGGCTGCACTTTTCAGGCATCGTTTGTATGGCTGTAACAAACACCTGTGCAAAATTTCATGCCATTTCATGCATACTTACCCTGTCGCATCGCGAACGACTTTTTGTCAACTTTTAGTGTATACCAAAAATTAGGTGTCATTTAATGTTTTCCAGGATAATGATAAATTTTACATGGGTGACATCGATTTAATTCACATGTTATTTTACAGGTACACCGTATAGAAAATCATTACAAGTTCATATTGAAATTCTTTTTTGTGCGGAACCTTGGCATCATTTTCCTAGACAATAATCTTTGCCTAATATATCCATCTCTCGATTCGTATCCCGTCACTTCAGTGCAAGCTTCAGTCATCACTTTTATGCCTCTCTCGACCGCCTGAGTGCTGTTTGGCCACTTGGGCACCACTAATGGTGTCTCAAGAATGTCATTAACCTGTAGATTTGACAGAGAAGCAATGTAAGGAGGCTCAGTCTTGAGTTCATTCCTCCAGTTAATCATGGAATGATAGTTTTTTGCTTGCCACTTTAGTTTCGGAGTCACCACCTTTCTCATGTTGACTACAGGAGGCACATCCTCATTCCCATCTCCATCTTTACCCTCCTCATCAGTATAGTTTAACAAATTCTCGTCAACAGCAGCATCAGAATCTTCCTCCTCCTCTTCAGATCTGCCAGTGCATTCTTCCTTTTGCTGATTCTCCTCTCTAATTTTTCTTATCATTGAGACAGCTTTTTCTCTAACAGTCATGTCCTCATCTGCACACATACCAAGAAGAAGTTGATCTGTGTGGGAGAAGTATGCATTTCTCTGGACAGCCTTCTTCACTATCGTCTCCTCCTCACTATTCAGGTGTTTCATATATAGCAGGGACTGGAATACGTTCCTTGAGCCGTGTGTTACGTAAGGGTGTATCTTGATGTAAAACCACATTGGAGCACTGAACTTTATTATTGTAATGACAATTCTTTTCAACTCATGGCTGGGTCTTGATGTTGCTACATACAGCCTGAGGATTCTACTCCATAAGGTGTTCCACCTTGACACACAGGGAGGACCTGGCTCAATAGCAGCCAAGTCATCTTCAACAACACCTGTGACAACTCCTTTACAAATCCTATACAGGTATTTCTGATCCCAGGACAGATCTTTCTCCACTTCATCATTAAACACAGGGAAATCAGGGAAACTGACTGGCTGGAAGGCGACAACTGGAAGCTCAGACAAAGACTCCTTGATCTGCTTTCCAATGGGACCACGCCAATGCTCAGGACCACTTGGTTTACCATCATAGTGATAAAAAACTGCGCGGAAAGGCAGCTCATTTCCGTGAAGCTGACATATGAAATAATGGAGCGGGTGACCAAGTAACATTTCAAGATGATGAATGACTCCATTTTCTGATCCTACATTTACATTGGTTCCATCACAACCAACACACACAATGGGCTGCTGGGTTAGATTTTTCTCCACCAGAAACTCGTGAATAGTTTTGGCAATCTGCTTTCCGTGTCCAGTCTTGGGAGTCACATGTGTGAGATATTCATTGCCAGGCTCAACCATGATGACATAATGAAATGAGAAAAGGCTGATAATCAATATAGACATAGCACCATACTCATCTGCAACAAGACAACTTAAATGAAATAAGAGATATGAAAAAAAGTTGATAAACACTGAACAGAACATTGCACCGCCACAGCGGCTGTTTGGCTAGTACTGTAGGTAAATTAAAAAATTTCAGTAGAAAATGCGGCAGACTAAACCTCGACATATCAGCTTCAAATTTGGCATGGAGTCTTAGATATGTATAAGGAACAATGCCTGAAGAGTGCAGCTTTGAGCAAAATTTCACTGCCCCCTACTGTACAATGCAATATTATGCAATATTAACCCCTAAATCCGTTAATTAGGACAATCGGCTAAAACAGACACCCTTCCCCCCCTATTAGTCCATTTTAACGAGGGTCGACTGCATGAAAGTTGCAAGTCTTAACCCGATAACAGCAGTACAGTAATTCGCCGATCAACCCCACAATGTGTAAAAAAACAAAGAAAAACATGCACAGTAAAACCTTGATAAATCAGACTAATTGGGGCATACCCCAGCACTAAACATGCGAAAGTCCGAAAAAAAAGAAGGGAATCTATGGGGATGGGGGATGGAGATAACACTGCTTATCTGAATTACTTAAGAAAATCAGTTGTTGTCGCATTATTACAGTAATACAGGTATCTCCATTAGCTGGAATCCCTCAAACCCGGAACTCTCTGATAGCCGGAATTCAAATTTGCTCGGAAAATCATTCCCAAATCTGGAAAATTCCAAAAATTTCCGGCTTTGGGAACAAATTTTCCGAAGCTGAAAATCGAGAGCATTTTCTGAAAATGTCTTGAATAACGACGAAGGATGAAGTATTTTTGGGAGGGACCTGACCTGATTCAATGTCAGGTGGAGGTAGGGTAGGGGATTAGTGGTCTCATATTTCTGACCTTCTGATGGAATGTCAGGTCACACAAAACCTAAAGTATTTTTAGGGAGATTGTGGTATGAATGAGTATAAATGAGCAAAGTTGTATCCCTTCAACATTACATTACATAACATTTTAAAATATGGAGTGAGAAAGCAGAAAGGTGTGGGTGATTAAAGAGAGAGTGGAAAGGAGTGGTAACATGCACCAGTGTTGCCAAGCGATGAGCTCCTCAACAGCTGATCTTTTAATTCCACCTCCATGCAGTCACACAACAAGACCTCACTGGATGCTTGTTGTCTTAATTCCCATGTGTGTGTGTGTGTGTGTGTGTGTTTGCACACAGGGTGGTGAAATGCATCTAGTGTGGCAGCATTATGTCAGTGTTAAGGTGCAAGCACTGCTTGCCCCCTCTCACTTTCAGCTACCGCTGCTGGCTAGCCCTTGTGGCGAACAGGGAAGCAACTTGCATAAGTTTTCCCCTGCCAGTACACAGCCTCTTCACCATCAAGACTACTGTTGTGCCTCCTCGTGGCAACACACGGTAACTGGGTGCCTTATGGGCCCAGGCTAGACCAACAGGGGATCTCGGAGTAGCAGTGGGTCCCAGAGGGACGGCGCATAGGCCCATTGGCATGTGGGCACGTTCTGGCGCCTACCAACCATTGCCTCGCTGCCTTGTGGATTAACCTTGGTAGGTATAAGACTACGGAAGTAACCCCCGAAAAAAAAAACTGTGGTGGAGCCCCGCATCAGGCAAACATGCTTACAGAGCTCCCTCAAGAC